GCCAGAGGCAGCTCCACATGGTGCAGTCAGCACAGTCAGATCCAGCTTAGAATCCACTGAGCTGGCACCACGGCAGGAAGGCGCCCATGGGCCTGCCCTGACGTGACACTTACGATGACCACCTGGCAGATGTGCCCGCGGCAGAGCTCTGCATAGGACGAGTAGTGCACGTATGCCATCCAGCTGCCCACAAAGACGCCCAGCCAGACCAGGAAGACATACTTGACCTTGAGGCCCGGGAGCCGGCCCTGTCGGGGGTGAAGGGGGGCAGTGAGGAAGTGCCACATTCGGGGGTCTGAGCCCCACCTCCCGGACCCCAGCCATGCTGAGAGCCTTCCCTGAAGCCAGCACCTGCTCCACCCAACGTCCAGGACTGCTCACCGCCACCCAGACCGCTCAAGCTCTCAGACCTTTAAATCTTGCAGGCAGACAAAATAAATTCCCAAATGAGGGAGATACAGGGTACATGAATTTTAAACAAAATTTCCTCCTGTCCTGCCCTCATTTCATAATGACATTTAACCTCTGTGCAAGGTCAGGCTGGAGAAGCACCCCCCCACCTCCCCACCACACCATCCTCTCCCTGGTGGAAACTTCAGGCTGGACCAGGGCCAGTAGGGAGCACGGGGCTTGAGCAGAGGGCAGGGCCCCAGCGGCAGTCACCCGGAGAGCCTTTAAGAGACGCAGCTAAAGGGTGGACACAACTCCTGTGCCCATCGACAGATGAGTGGAGAAACCAAATGTGGTCCATCCATACAATGGAATATTATCTGGCCATGAAAAGGCAGGGAATTCTGACACAGGCTACAACACGATGAACCTAGAGGACATAATGTTCACTGAAATGAGCCCAATGCAAGACAGATTGTGTAGGATTCCACCCATGGGAGGGCCTGGAAGAGTCAAATCCATAGAGACAAGAAGTGGACAATGGGTGCCAGGGGCTGAGGAGGGGAGGGTGGTGAGTGTTTCCTAGGGACAGAGTTTGAGTTTGGGAAGATAAATGAGTTCTAGAGATGGACAGTGACAGCTGCACAACGTGAAGGTGCTTAATGCCTCTGAGCTGTGCACTTAAAAGCGGTGAAGAGGTTAAATTTACGTGATGTATAATTTACCACAATAAAGCTGAGAGAAATAAGTCACACAGATGTCTGGGGTGGGTGGGAACTGCATCCATGGGGGGCTCAGCTCCTCTGCCAGGCTTCTGCAGCTGAGGAGTGCATGGAATGACACGATGTGAGGGTCCCAGAGCCCTGCAGCAGTTAGGCTGGGGGCACTGTCTCCCATCCAGCCCCCAGGCTGGGATTGCTATCCAGGGTGGCCAACGGATGGGATGGGGTTACCAGATGCTGTCTGGTGCAGGGGCTCAGACACTCTGACCGGGCAGCTGAGCCCCAGAGAACAAGGCCTGGGCCCAGGGTTCAGGAGAGCAGGAGGGCGGGGGGTTTCAGGCCAGGCTGTCCTTGGAGAAGGCACCACTGTCCGAGCTGGCTACACACCCCACCTCCCATGGCCAGGGAGCAACTCCAGTCCCCGCTAGTCCTGGGTCCAAGTCACCTGGGGGCTGGGGGCTGGTGCTGAGAAATGGGGCCATCGGCTCCCCGCTGAGGATGGGGCAGGGGCCTCCAGGCCCAGCCCAGGCAGCTGCAGTCATTTTCATGGTGCTTCCAGGAGAGGCAGGGTCCTCACCTCCTGCTTGCCTGGCGCTGCCTCACACAGCTGGCCGCCCCAGGAGGCGCTGCAGCAGGAGGACCCGTAAGAGCTCCGGGGCCAGGCTCAGAGCTTCAGAGACCCCTCAAGGGTGATGGGGGAACTGGGGTGGCCCTGGGGCAGCGTGAGGGGGTTGGGCCCCAGGTCCACTCATCTTTGCCACCACGTCTGTTTCCGCCAGTTTTGTTCAAAAGGAAAAAACAGGAAAGCAGAGGACGGGCAGGTGGGGGGCTGGGGAGCTGGGGGTGTTGTTTTGGCAGCACAAGGTCAGAGGACTTCCAGCTGCTGGTGAATAATGCCCGGAGGCGGAGGTGGGCAGGGCCTCTGGGTGGACTTTCAGCTCCAAGAAGGCCTGGAAGGCCAGGCTGACTCTGGAGGTCCCGGGGGACAGCCAGGAGGATGACAGGCTGTGGCCAGCATTGAACCCAGGGACTGAGCTGGGGCAGACCCAGGCTTCACAGACTGACTGCAGGACCCAGAGCCTGCCGGCAGGGCCCACCCCAAACCTGCCCACCCTATGGCCAGCCCCTCTCCCCATACACCGTCCCCACTTGCCTATCTCTGAATGACCCCTGGGTCCTTATCTCCGGTGGGCACTTCCTCCAGGAGCAGTCCCTGGCCCCCATCCTTCTACCCTGCCCTGATCACCCGGGTCCTGTCTCCCACAAGAGAGTAAGCCCCTGGGACAGGGAGGGTCTTACACATCAGTGGGTCCTGTGTAGCTGCGCCCCGACCGTGGCCTGCCCTGGTTCCTGGTGGGACCCCGAGAGGGAGGAAGGTCACTCTGGAGACAGTAACAGCACACTGATTGGCAGCCCCCCGGCCAGTGGCCCACATGCACCATGACTTCCAAACCTTGCCATCAACTCAGAAGGGTGTTTCACAAGTGGGGCAACTGAGGCTCAGTGTGTGTCCTGACATTGGTGGAGGTGGGTAGGCAGGGCTAGGCTCAAACCACTGGGAACCCACCAGAACCCCTCTCCGGCCAATCTGCTGTTCCTGGTCTGAGCTCAGAGGTCTGACACTCAAGGTCCAGGATCCACGACTCTGGCCTCCCCTGCAGCAGCTTGGTCAAGACCCTTCCCTCGGACTGGAGCCAATGCACACTCCACCTCCCAGCATGGGGTGGACGTTCAGACCCGCAGCGCCCATCTTGCTTAGCGCAGGGCCGGAACCACCACGCACCCTAAGGCCCCAGGCGGGCAGGGAGGGCTTCTGGCACAGACAAGTACTGCAGCTCCCACCCTTCTCCCCAGGAGGGATCCTCCCGGGCTGGCCAAGGGCCGCCCTGGGGAGGCCAGGGAGGTGCGGGCGGCTCTAACCAGGGCTGTCTCCTTCCCCTGGGGGGCTGGGGCCCTGGAGGGCATCGAGGTCACAGTTTGGCCTGGATGATTTGAGACGCTGATGTGAGCCTGGATCAGACCGCCGGAAGCAGAAGTGACAGGGTTCCCAACAACTGACATCCAAGGCAGCCTGGGCTTCCGCCGAGACAGCAGGGCCCGGAGAGGGGCCGTGATTTGTCCAAGGTCACTGTGGGGTCAGAGCACGCTCCTGATCTGGGACTGGCTGAGGGCTGACCGAGGGAGCTTATGTCCTTCTTAGGGTGGTTCTATGCGTCCCAAGTTTTCCATCACAGAAAAACAAACCTGATCTGCTGAGTAGAGGGAAACGGAGCGGACCTGGTGTGGCTCCTGGGCCTGTGGGGGCAGGGTCCAGCCCGGGGCGGGGTGGCGGCCTTTTTCAGCCCCAGAGGCAGGGGCTGCCACCCTGCAGCATCCGCGGGGCCCAGACCCTCCGCTCGCCCCATCGACCATCCCACCCCGGCCCCCAGTGCCCTCTTGGCCCCCCAGTCTCCCCGGGGGCCACGCATCCCAACGCTCAACGACCTTGAGTCCCGAGTCCGACGCCGGGCCCCAGGCTGGACGCCGCGCGCCCCCGACGCGGCCC